GGCTCAGAAGCCCCTACCTCTGGGCCGGGAGCAGCGGGACTCAGTCCCATGGTCTGGTGGTCTGGTGTCCTCTGCATCTTTGTAGTGTGGAACCAGGTGGCTGTACAGAGGAGTGGGGGGAGGAGATATACAGTGGATTGTTGCGGGGCGTGGCGATTCTTAGAACTTGTGCCCAGTTCCTGCAGTAAATCAGCTTCACTTTCTCCTTTCCAGTTTAATTCTATTGTGTGTATTTATTTATTTGTTTGTTTGTTTTGTTTTACTCGGGTTTTCTAGACATTTTCAGTTGCGGGATTGCTTCTTGCACCTAGTATTTAGTTATTGAGTTTTTATAAAATCGTTTGGGACTTTTAATAGCCATTGTAATGCTTTTCTCTTTTTGTGGAAGCCTTTGCATGTTTTCACTGTTTCTTTCCTAGCACCCTCCCAGAAGCCGTGCCAGCCAGCTAGATTGCAAGCTGCTGTCACTCAAGCTCCTGCTGTTCAGTAGTCATTTAGTCAATATGCTTTAATGACCCTAGCAAGGATATATTTCTGCTGGAGTCACCCTTAGCATTTAGGTGCTCCTGTTTTCCTTGGTGCCAGTGTGCTCAGAATGTTAATCTCTGCTTTCTGCCTGCTCATTATACACTGAAGTCAGACACTTTCAATTAATTTGCCGTTGCCGTCTGTGTTTTGGTCCAGTGAATTAATGCCGGCCAGACACTGGGAACATTAATGGTTTGTCCACTTATCATTTTTGATAAGACACTGTTACCTGCTGTGACATCCTGGCTAGACGCTGTTCCTGTATGCATCTTATGAGTCATGGGGGGCCCTGGGTACCATCAGCCCCATGATTAAAACCTGCTGAGCATTCTGCACAGCAAACTGCATGAGCTCTGGGTGTCAGCTTCATTAATGTGCCTCACTTCCTTTCATTATTGTCTGTTTTCAGTTTTTTTCACATAGCTCATTGGCACTGGGTGCCAGCAGTAGGTGTGGAGGCCTTTGAAGCTCTTTCGAACTTGGTCAGCATTGGCTGGGCAAGGGATGCTCAGCTTCCAGGCCTGTGGCTGGAGGCCTCGCCCTGCTTTTGGTGGGCTTCCCTGCTGCATGGGGAGTCTGCTTCCTGTGTCTCCCACCCCCTGCCAGGCTGTGACCTCCACAGCCCACTGCTGCAGCCTCCTCCAGCCATTCTCTCAGACCCTCCCACCCCCTGCCAGGAAGCATGGCATAAAAAATAAGAAAGGGAAGTTGTGCAATGTGGCAAAAAAAAAAAGCAAGAAAGCATCAGATGAGAGGCTCTGAGGGACTTCCAGAGCTCCATTGAGCATTCATATCGAAGGGGATGATCATAAAGAAGTAAATAAGTATGTACAATTACTGCATGCTCCTAAATTTGTGCAACAGTCTACAGCCCTACCACCCTGAATGAGCCTGATCTCATCTAAGTACATGTGACAGAGGAGGCCATTTGGGGTGGTGGGGTAGGAGGGTTGGGGAAGGCGTCTCTGAGGGGCACATTGGAGCAGAAGCCTGAAACACCAGACCTGGGAAAAATCCCTCAAATGGGCCTCAGAGGAGCAAGTATGGGAAGAGCCTAGGATGGGGGTTCAGGCAAAGACCCCAACCACCACATACTGTAGAGCCTCCCTCCAAGCCCAGATGAGATTCTGGTGACCCCCTTGTCCTCAGCTTGCATCCCTCCTTGCTTCCCAAAGAAATCCCTTTCACATGAGGCCAACGGGCAATAAACCCCACAGTCCCTTTCTCTTAACCACCTGGGCACTGAGCTGGTTTTCAGTGGTGGTCAACTCTTGGATATAAGGTACCAATTTACTTAATCCTGGGCCCAAATAGGCAAAAATACCTTTTTTTTTCTTTAGTTATATACATACTTTCATTTCTTCAAGGTGGGGATTTTTTCTAGGCCCAGCCTAGTGCCCAGCTAAGACTGAGAGACCAGGAGAGATTTCTTTCTACATCAGACAGTTGGCTCTGTTGGCAGACTGCTCAAGTGTGTATACTGCATTTGGTAGATTTGCTAGGCTCCAGTGTTCTTTGGGGAATTGATCCAGATGAGACGAATCCTCAGAAGGCTACCACTGGCAGCCAAGCCACATGCAGGGCATGGCTGTTGGGTTTGGGATCCAGGTGCAGATAACCAGCACTCTCAAGTCTGTTCCCCAGCAAGAGAAGCTAGAAGCCAAAGAGAGGGGAGAGACTCGCTTCTCACCTACAAAATGAGAACAATCCTTAAATCCAATAGGCTTTTATTGATCTGTTCCCTAATGGCTCTGTAAGTAGAAAGCAAAATTTTTAATAGTCCTTAAAGATCTTGCAAATGTCATCAAATTACTGGAGACCAAGGAGGACCTAAGACCAGAAAAAAAGGAAATCTGAGGCAGCATTCTGGGGGAAATTATAGGAGGGGAAAGTGGCACAAAAGAACTTCTTATCCCATGTGGATTTGGAAAGAGGAAGGGAACAGAAAGTTACAGTGACATTTGAGTCCAGGCAAAGGTGGAGACAATATTGCCGAGTGGATGGAGCCGGATCCCTTGAGCTCAAATCTCAGCCTAACTTGTGTGACCTTGTTCAAGCTACTTAATCATTGAGTTTCAGTTTCCTTTCAGTAAAACAGGGACCATTATAATAACATTTATTTAAAATATCAATCTAGATAATTGATGTGATGTGCCTAGCCCTGGGCCTGGTCATTTTTCCTGATGACTCCTATCATTTTTTGATGTTTGTTGTTATTGGAGAGGCCTCCTGAAGTTGATCAAGAATGCAAGCCTTGCAGCAGTCTTTCCATGAGCTTTGCAGAGAGCTCTGCAGCCCTTACATTTCAAGTCTAATCTCTCCTTTATTAGTAAATATGTGGCCACTAATTAGAGAGCAGTGGGTGGGTAGAAAGAAACATCAGATAAAGCAAAACAGTCATAAGGCTTGCATGGCTCACAGGGCTTGTGAAGCAAACACTCATGTCTGTGCATTTAACCCCTTTCTTCCTCCTCCCCTCTCCTCCCGCTGGCTGCAGGTTTTGCTGTGCGTCACCTACACCCCAACATTTGACCTGAACGGGAGTGCAGTGCTGAAGATCGCGGAGGTGAGTGTCCCCTGTCCTTATGCTTCCTGCTGTCAGCTGCTTTCTCAGCCCTAGCAATGGGGTGAGCTCTGCTGTGATGACTGTAGGGAACTGCTGTGGCAAGCATATCGTGTGGCCCACCCTCCTTCCTCCTCATGCTGTGTGTCTTCGCACTCTGCATGCTTGTGTTTGTTTCTCTTGAGGCTTTAACCATGGAAATAACAGTACCAGGTCCCCCTGCTCTGCTACACCCATATATGCTGCTTTCTCGGTGTGTTTTTCTCCTACAATTAGTTGCAAAACATTTGATCTTTTAAAATGTTTTTTCAAAACTAGGTTCAAGACTTACAGAGAGATTTTTTGATGCAATTCCATCACCATCTCCAAGCTCTGATGAACACATTTCAAAGCTTCTGTTTTCAGTCTGTGCTGTGGTATAGAGTAGCTCAGGTCCTCCAGCACCCTGAAAACACATCCAACAGAAATCCTGGCTTCTCCAGTGCCTGCCATATGCCTTTGGCTTTTGGAAACATTATCATTGCAAAGGATAATTCTCCTTCTATTTCTTGAAAAGAATATCTTCAGGATTTGTTGATTCTGGCAAGAGTATACACGCAGATCACAAAAGAAGCAATGATTTTCTGAATTCTGAAATGATGGAGAGAAAGGAACCCTAATTATTGGCATTCATGGGTATCTGTATTAGTAGATACATATACTTTTTGTGTCCTTGTGTGGTATCAAGAAGTGAAATTAAGTGAAAATCACTCTTGAGCATTTAGAAAATTTATGTATGTCCACCAAAAGAGAAGTAGTAGCCGTCAGCTGACCCCACCCCACACTGCAAATTAGTAAATCTCCACCGAACACCTGTATGTTTCACTCTGTATAACAGAATAGTTATCAGTGACTGTTTTTATTTTAAGAGATACCGTGAGTGCTCTTATGATTTGTAGGTTCACTTGTTTCAAGACTACGTAGTTTCCAAAAAGAGCAAAAAGCAGGATCAGCACATGAGAGGCTTGTTAGCCCTTTGCCACTTGAAGGGAGATGGGAAGAGCCATGCATCACTGTGCAGCGCTGCCCTGCAGATGTAGCCCAGGATGGGGACAACAAAGATCCCCTGGGCCTTCAGGAGGGGAGCACTGCCAGGGCTTCATGCTGCCCTTGAAAGGGAAGAGAGAGAGGGTATCCCTGTCGTCCTCACAGAAAACACTTTCTGAGTGAGGCCCTGGGGGACACGATGTGTAGTTCCTGGGCAGCAACACACACTGGCATGGGCCACACAAGGGAAAAGTCACTGGAGTGCCTGGAAGCCAGAATAATTCCCCACAGGCCTGTCCAGATGGGATGAATTGCCAAAGCCTGCCGGCCGCTACCATAACCAACAAAGGGAAAAAGCAGCCCAAAGAACATTTTAGCCTCATGTGGACGTAACGATAAAGGCACGCAAGCCTCGTGGTAAGCAGGGTGGGCCTGGAGTCCCACTGTGTGGTGTGAATCTGGCTCTCCCGCTTAACACATGCTGCCTTGGCCCCCCATCTGGGCCTCACATTTGCTGTCTGTAAAAACAGTGAGAACCACACTTGTCTCATCATGCACTGTGAGTACACAGAGTACTACGAGTGTACATAGTGTACCAATCAGACATGAAAACTACAATCCATGTAAAAAGCTACCATATCAGGTGCAGCTCCAGCCACATAGTGAAAAATGTTTGCCATTGTCTAACTTGAAATATTAGGGAAATGATTCAAAATAATACCTTAAAATAAGCCATTTACAACCTTCTCAGTGGTGCGAAGGAATCCAGCTATTCTTTTCTTTCTTGCTCTCCTGTAGGCTGACAGTTACCCAGAGATAGTGTTCACCCTGAAACCTGTTGATCAGGAAATGGGATGTGTACTTAAGAATGAAAAATGAGGCTATTTCCCCAAGGTACTGGTGAAACTATAAAAAGATCATTAAACTCTCAAAATGTAAATAAGAAGGCAACCTTCCTTGGTGTCTAACTTGAATCTCTTTAATTAAACTGAGGTTATGAAAGTTTTTCAGAAGAGCACCTTCCATGTTACAGGAGGAATAAGAAATATCACCAGATTTTTCAAATGGACAGTTATGAATTATCCAGCAAGTATTATCTGTTCAACTGCATGAACAACCATCACTAAAACACCACATGGGTATATAATCCTCCTCTTCATTGAAAACTGAGCCCAAGATTTCTCCTAGCATTATGCCCAGATTTGTAGATGTATGGCATTTTCTAAGGATGGTTACTTTAATATAGGAAAAACTTGTTGGAGTAGAAACTGCCAAAACCTTGGGCTAAAGAAAAAGATCAAATCATAGCCAAAAAGCTCTTTTAAGCTATTTAAGGGGTGGTTAATGACATTGGTCCACAGGAAAGCTTTGGGACATGTCTTCTTGTCTACTTGAGACTCCTCTATGGGATTTCTCAAAAGCAGAAACCCCAGTAAATGCATGTTTGCTGCTTTGATCTCACTGACTCCAGGAAACTTCCATTCTTTGATACTGTTGTCTGCTAGCAAGTGCAGGCAAAATATGTTTCAAAAACTATTGTTTTTTCTCTAGGATTTATGTTCCTAGGGACCTCCCTTTTTCTCTCCTTCTATCTGCTTATCTCTCCATTCCAAAACACTTATTAATAATTATGCCTATTCTCATTGAATGTTTATTTTTGAGACAGATTCTCACTAAGTTGCCCAGGCTAGCCTCAAACTTACCATCCTTCTGCTTCAGCCTCCCAAGTAGCTGGAATTATAGCCATATATTCTTCTTTAATCTCCACCAAAAGCCAGCTAAGAATCCCAAGCAAACTGAGGTTAATTCACTTGCCCAGGTTTCTGTAGGTAGATACTCAAACCCGTACCTTGTATTTTGTGAGCACGTATTGTTAACTACTATTCTATGTTGCTTCCTGGATAGCCTTAGTCTTAGAGAATGTAAGTAGAATTTTGCTATAATCATATTGGCAACCAACTGAAATTCTTAGGAGTCATTTCTCCCTTGAACCTTCCGAGTGGCCTTTAATTGGATAATTGCCATGTAGTGTTTTGTTTTGTTTTGTTTTGTTTTTGGTACCGGGGATTGAACTCCGGTCCTTGTGGCCGGAACCACTAAGCTAAATCCCTGGCCCCATGTAGTGTTTTTACATATGAAACTGAAGTATGGATGTTATTTACTTTTTTGTGACCATAGATTTGAGTGGCCCTTAAGAATATGCACTTTCTTGGTTAACATATCAATGGTTTTATCTTTTTCTGAGCATTATAGCATCAGAGTATCTGGAGATTTATAATAGTTCCTGTTACCCTGAGGAGCTCAAAAATGTTGAGGTTCAAGACTCCCTCCATAGATTCTTATTTAACATTCCTAGTTGTCCTAAAGTGTTTTTTCAATTGAGCTGATTTATAACTCCTGAATTATTCAGTGATAATTTTTTTTACTCTGTGAAAGCATTATTCTGAGACATAAAATACAGATAACCTGGCCCATTTATTGTGGAAGCATTTTGTGTGTTATGTTCTCTGTGAGTCTTGGAGGAAGAGACCCCACCTCCTGTCAAGAAAAGTAGCCCAGGGGTGGGTCCACCACCCTAAACCAGTTGAGCACACTAGAGTGAAAAAAACCCTTAGTAAGGAGCTGTTCATGAAGCCCTCTCTTTTCTTCTCTGTGCACCAGTCTCTGTTGATTTTGGTTTGACTCCTCTTCTGTATCTGTTCTTTGGCTTACTGCTAGGTAAGCTGTGAGCAAACTAGTCCTTCCTTACAAAGAATTTCCACATCTCTGTTTAACTTTGACTTGCATGGCTCTTGAAGGCTTATTTCAAGGAGGAGGGCACAAAGAACAATGAGAGTCCTCTCAGTTTTATTTGGGGTTGGTTCATAAGGCAGAGGCTGGGTCTCTATAGACCTATAGGCCAGGCAGAAGGATTTACCCGGGAAGGTGCAGGAATCCATGGTGTGAAGAGTCTTAAGCCATTCTAATATGTCCGCTTATACCAAGGAGAACATGGAGGAGAAAGAGGAACATCTCAGTCATAGCTGCCCATCTATGCCCAGCACTTTGGAATTTCCTTTTAATTTGAGATCTAAAAGGAAAACTGGTGAACTTCTCTGCCCAGCATGGTGATCAGACTTATATACATACTGTATTTCCTGGAAATAGCACAACAACTTCATGTCCCTCCATATGTATGAATGGATCTTCATGCTGATTTGATGAAGCACCTCTTGCCATGTACACACCTGTTATATCTGCTCACCTGTTGGGAAGGAGAAAAAGAAAATGGCCTGGCAACCTTGCTGTCCCTATGATTCATCACAGAGATCAGACTTAGAGCAATAACTAGAATTTTTCCTGGTTTCCTTGTGAGTAACACATTTATAGTCTTCCCTAAATAGAAGACATATATTTTGCTTTCTTTTTAAATTTTAAACATTTTTATTAGTGCATGTTTGCAATATATAATAATTATATTCATCATGGGGAGTTGATACATGTACTAAACATACCTTAATTTTTTTTGCTTTCTTATAGCTTAATCTTTGATCCTTTTCAGTTTATCACCGTACATATTCTTCATTTTTATAATTTTTTTCCCAGTTGGATATATATATTAGATCTTCTTTTTATGGAACTTATAACTCAGTATTATGTACTGTTTTAACACAGCAATGCCACCAACCCCATTCGGATAGGAAAAAGAAAATAAATGGGTAATTAACAGAGTGAGGTTCATATGTATTTTACAAAGCTAAGCAAATTTCTCAAAGAATCCTCTTCAAAATTTGTGTTCACTTAAGCAATATACATATAGGATATCAACTAATAAACTGTATTCCACCATCTACTTTGTATTCAGTAATGTAGCAATTCTAGCCTGGGTTTAACCTAGAACTGTTATTTATCAGTCCACTTACCCAATGATGTAAAACCTTTCCTTATGTGTACCTGTAGATTTGTGTATTCTTATTTTTTTCTTCTGATTTTGTGGTTTGTTTTGCTTTATTAACCATTTTTGTTTTTGCTCTCAGTTGTGTTTAGCATGTCGTAAAACTGGATGTCCACAAATGCATGAAATGATCAAAATGTCCATTATGACCCTTCTCACTGCTCTGTGTCTGCGTGCATTCCCTGGCGATCAGGGGCCTATGGCTTTTCACAAGGTATTTCACTGGGTCTGTTGCGCCTCTGGCAGGTGCAGGCCTGAGACTTTTCAAGTGTTCATTCTGCAATTCAAAAGCAAAGGGCATGAGGAGGTAGAATGGTGTTGAGGAGACTGAAGAAGATGCCATGAGCTCTTTTCTCAGAAACCCAGCCTGCCTTGGACTTGACATTCTCCTAGCCTCTCTTATCCAATGTGGTCATTTTACTATCTCCCTGAGGTAGAGGAAGAAAACCAATCATGTAGTGAAAATTGTTTGGTCTTGAATAGTGTTCAGATTTAAAATGGAGACCCTAGTTCTAAGAATCTTAGTAGTTTACCAACTTATTATTACTACAGTTTAAGAAACTCTTAAGATGTCAGGATAGCTAATTAAACATTTTTCTGAGTGCCTAAAGATAGCAGTATCATCAAATACATGGTCATTTCTATATTTAGCAAGGTATCTTGTTGTCAGATACAGTATACATCTCCAACTTTGGCAGAATGAGCTTCTTAGAGAGTGCCTTTTTCTTAGGTCAGTAAACATACTCACATTTTCTCTTAATCAAGTGCCTGCTGCAGTAAGTCATGTCCAATACATACTATCCCTGTAGTATTAGCAACTTAAAATAGTGACGTTAAAACTGCAAAGAAAAATATTGGTATTTGGAAAGTTGTTATCTATTTATAACACTGTGTTAGATATAATTTGATTCCTTGTGTTTGCTTTCTTTCATGGGTCTAAGTGACTGATGTCATTTCTTACGGATGCCTAGTGTGTAAGGCTCAGAATATAAGAAGGTGTCTACCAAGTGTGGAAGTGAGCTCTCAAAATACCTTCTCTTTCATCCTCAATGCTTTGAAAGCTTAAAATCCCCCCTTAAATTTATGTCAGAGCTTAGAAATCTTAAAGATCAATGATGACAAAGATTTCTTGGAAAAATAAGATATAAAGAAAACTTAATTTGTGAGGTACAAATCATACTAGTGTACCTAATTAGACCATGGAGAATTCAGTTTCATCAGGATGAAATGCACTCATTTAAAAGTATTTTTAAGGTTTTTAAATCACTTTATCACATGCCAAAGCAGAAGCCTTTTAGGATTTAAAGACCTTTTATCTAAGTATACATCAATTATTGTGCATTCAAATCCATTATAATCCATAATCATTTGAAAAAAATGTGAAATTAAAATTCATATGTTCTAAATAGCTTTTTGAAAAAAATACTTTGTAATTTCTATTTTCTTTTACTATGAAATGAATTAATGTAGGCCAAATTCCAAATACTGTATAGTCTTAAGTTTCAAATGCTCGGGTGGGGGATTTAGCTCAGTAGTTCCGGCGCCTGCCTCACAAGCACAGGGTCCTGAGTTCAATACCCAGTACCACACACAGACAAAAAAAATTCAAATGCTCCTTAGTAGATAAATTAAACTTTAAAAGAAATACTCACTTTTAGGGGTGGGGAGTGTAGCTCAGTGGTAGAGCACTTGCCTAGTGTACTCAGGGCTTGGGTTCAATCCCCAGCACTACAAAAGAAAAACAAAACAAATTGTTTTTACTTAGTTAATTTTACAAAAAGATTATGATAGTGAGGCTTGCCAGAAAATCCTTATAACCTGAGTGATATAAATAACACAGACTGGCATTTCGTCTCTTTCTCCCAGTTATCTCTCAGTTATCAATCATCAAATTAAATTTTCCATTGAGATGTGGACCTCTGTTTTCATAATAGAGAACCCTGGAGTTATTCCCAGAAAAAAATAATTTAGGTACATTAAATCCGTCTTTCTGTTCTTGTGTATAACCATGCTTTGTGAAGCTGGAAAGCTAGAATGCATTATGGAGAGGAAAACAGTGGGCAGATTTAAAGTATGCACTAGTTGTCTCACCCAGCCTTGTAACTTCAAAAAGAATTATAAGCAGCAAAGCTTGGAAAGTCATGACACTTCACATCATTATCAATAAGGGATTGTTTAACGCTGAGATTGCTCCAGCAGTAGCCACCAGGGAGTGTCTTATGTTCAGCCAGAGATTCAGAACACACAAGAGCCAGGGGGGTCACAACTGGCCTTACGATCTCTCAGCGGGACATAGGACAGGAAACAAAAGCAGGGCGCTGCCAGGCATTTATTTCCCATGGGGTCCTCACAGCAGTCCAAAGGCTGAACTCTGGCTCTCAAGTGACAGCAAAGGTACAAAGGATGAGAGCCACCTCAGTGCGTACACAGTTACCCTAGCTTTGGAGCCCCGTGTCCCAGATAAGACCCAGTATTTCTGAAACAGTTCTATGAGCAGAGCTTGGAGAGTTCCTGTGGAGAATGTGACCAATTACGTCACTGCACCCAGGGAAGCTCAAACCGGTGGCTTCCAACCAAGTACTCAGTGTTGATTCACAGCTATCTCGATCCAGATGCAGCTTAGTAACCATGGAACATTTACCATAAGCTGTTCTGCCTTTGCTGTTTAGCTGTCTAGAAGAGCTCAAGTCTCTCCAAGGTCAAGCTCATTTATAGTGCAGGAGAAGGGCTACTCAGACTATAACCCATGAGTTAATAAATTCATCCTGCTCAAATATCACATGGTCTCTTTTATATGAGAGGCCCGAAGTATAAATAATATAAAGAGAAAAATAAAAGGTAGGAGAGAGGAAGCAGGGAGTTAGATCTTTTGTAGATGTAGGTAGGGGACCAAAAGATGAAGAGGGGAAGGGAAAGTAAAAAGAATTAAGTTCTGTTACATACATGTACCAACTCGCTATGATAAATGTAATCATTATGCACTGTGAACATGTTCTAATAAAGAGTTTCAAAAATACATCATTTCCGCTAAAATAAATAAATTCTGACCTGTTTGGCCATGAAGAGAGATTTTCCTGATTAATTTCCAGCCATTTGAGTTTGTTCCTGATAGAATTATTTGGCTCATGTAAAATTCACTATTTTGCATCCCCTTATGAAACTCAGAAGAGCAAGATTGCAAGAGTGGTACTTCTTAGGGAAATATTAATTTTCCATATGCTTAAAAACACATTTCCTGGGATTTTAAATATGTCTGGGTTATTCTCATTAGTAATTAGTCTGAAGTCAGGCTGACTTTCTGTTCAAGGAGAATTTGATAGCCTCTCTGGTTGAGGACAAAGACCGTTGGTAACGAACTGATGTCTCAGGTGGATGTGTTGCCGTCTCCTTTCTTTCCTAGGTGTGCATCGAGACATACATGTGTAGCTGTCACCAGCGCAGCATAAACACTGCAGTGCGGGCCACCCTCAGTCAGATGCTAAGTGACTTGACCTTACAGCTACGACAGAGGCAGGAGAACACGGTAAGCCTGTGGCACTCCACGCCCATCGTGGCCTTGGTGGTGTCCTGAGTGACTTTTTGCTATGCCACCTGCCACAGACACTTCCCACTGGAAATGCTAGGAAGGGCTTGTTTATTTTGGAAGGACATTTATTTATATAAGTAAAGCTGTGTAGCATTTTGCTTCTTTCGCCTCCAAAGCTTTGAGAGTTGTTTTTTTTTTCTTGCAGTTTTTATAAATTTTGTCATTGCTTTAAAATTTACTTATTAAAAACTTCTTAAACATTTTTAGTAAAATTATTGTGATAGTAAATATGAAGCTAAGAAAACTAAGTAGCAGTTTATCACACACAGAGATGGGAAACATTTTCCTTGTTAACAGAGAGATTGTGCCAGAGGTTCCCTCATCTGCTGGGCCCTTGGGGTGAAGCTGAACTGGACTTGTCCTCTTGGTTAACAAAGCCCACTGGAACTTTTTGCTCTGAATTTGAACAGATTGTCTGAAATGAGTTTCTAGGGGGAAATGTAAATTTATTTGGCTTCTTGTATATATTATCATCTAGGACTATCAATGAGACCATTCCTCTTCAAATGAGTGTTCTGTTTTTTAAATCTGCCTCTGTGATAACTTAGACTAAAATTCTCATAAAATCCGCAAGGAGTGTTCTGAAATGACACTGGTCACTTTTTAAACTAGGAAATCTCAGTTGCAGTTTGAAGTATCTCAGATTAATTTTATAGAAATTAAGATTTCATGTTCAACTTCAATAATTTCTCATTTCAACTTTGGTTATTTTCTAATTTCTAGAAAGGATGAGGTTGAAAGGAACCTCACAGATTGTCAAGGCAAATTCTTTTACTCCTTCTCTTCCAGATACAAAGATAAAGCCCAGAGAGATGAAATTAAAATCTAAAATTAATGAGCTTTTCAATGAAAGGGCCGGAACTCAAGCCCTAGGCTGCTAACCTGCTCCCAGTCTACATTCCCAGTTCCTATGTGCCCAGAGTGTAAAACACTAATATGGAAAAAAATATATTGTGTTTTGTTCTTTTGTGTTTTCCATATCCAAAGCCTATGTTTCTATTTAAAATAATTTTGAGATGATTTAATCAATTTTAATGATCCCTTATTAAAAATGATGCCTTTGTATACCAAGAATTTGAATATAATAGTATGAGAATGTTAGCTTTGGAAAAAAAAAATCTATAAATAGAAAACTTATTAGGAGAAAAAGTGTTTTAATAGAAATAAGTCTAAGATTTTGAAAATGTTTATGTTAACACAGTCATATTCCATCTTTACTAAAATGGCAACATGATCATATACTGTAATATTAATTTTAATGTTTTAAAATGAAACATTTAAATGAAATGTGGTTTCAAAGTGATTTCAATTATATTAGCTCATTTAATCTTACGTTTAAATTTTTAAGTAGGAGCAGACAGTCATACTTCACATAAGGTTGTTTTGGTCAATGGCTGAGATATGTAAACAGAACGTACCATGTAGCCTAAGGGGTACAGTAAACTGTACCATTTAGGTGGCTGCAGAGACACGCTGTTTGCCCACACAATGACAAAATGGCTTGAAAATGAATTTCTCAGTCTGTCCCCACCATTCAGTGACATGTGACTCCAGGTTTGGAGTCGAATGTCTCAGCCTTTTGGTTCTTACCGCTCAGCTCTGAGAATGGTAATGGATGTAGCTGTGATTTTGTGCCTGTGTCCTGAGTTCTCTGTGGCTGATCAGTCTTCCGGTCCTGCTCATCACGACCACCTGGACTCACCCCACTCAGAGACAAGACGTCAAGTTGGTGGAAAATTCCTGTTTCCTGTTACTCCCTCTCTCTTACTCATGCCATCCCTTGGAGATGCGATTCCATGTCCCAGGAAAACACAGTTCTCAGCTTGCTAATCTTTGAAGCACATCTGTCCAGTAGAAGGAGGCATTAAGTTTTTTCACCTAAGAACTAGACATTTTTTCAAAAGCTATTAGAGAGGAGGAGTCCATAGGAAGGTAAGGTTTGCTCAAAAGAAGTGATGCCTTCCCCCGGGGAATACTCAGCATTACCTGGGAACAATGTGTATATTTTATAGTGTTACCCTTCACTGGGAAGACACTGTGAGCCACCTCAGAATTAGGAATTCCTAAACATAATCAAAGGAAAATAAATGTAGAATGCAAAGACATCAACATGAAGTACATCTTCAACATAATGCCCATATCTCTACGCCAACTCCACCTATACAGTGGGTTACAGTTTTGATTTTGTATCCTCAGAAACCTTGAGTTTTTAATCCAGCTTTATTAATGGACTTACTTGGACAACCAAAACTATTGTTACATTGTAAATTGCTCATTTCAAAAGGCAAAATTGCCACATGCAAATATTTGGAGCTGAAATAGGGATTCTTCTGCCTTTAGTTACAATTGAGGCGTGTTTCCTCAGAAAATATTGTTCTAACCATGCGTTTAGCCATAAGCTGAGTTGTAGACACTAACGTAACGTTTCACAAAAATTGCTGTGGAAGCAGCTGAGCTTGCAAATTAATGAAGAATAGTAGAAATGTGTGCCTATAATATGGTTTTTAGAAAGCAATGCCATTGGATGATTTACATATCTGGTAGTTAATTGGTTAAAAAAATACCTTTTTATTATTTCCTGGTTCAAAGAAGTGAGGAGGCAGAATCGCCTCTTTCCCATCCTCAGCTCAGGAGTCTCTGAGTTTTGCCTGGGATGGGAAGGAAGTCTTATTATATGTAAGCAGCTTTCTCTTCCTGTTTTTCCTCGGTGTTGTTGCTGTCATGACAGTTCTGGATCTACGTAGCAACAGCCCTGAGTGGCTGGTCTGACAGTCAGAAGTTGATCTGCTCCCCCGTTAGATAGGAAGACCGTGCCTTGAGCAGTGGTCATTTTTGGACCAGTAGTTTGAAGCCCGGCAGCCTAACGCTTCCTATGCTAAGAATCTGTATCTGTTAGGGCCAAGCACAGCATAGTCTATGGACTTGGGATAAATCATTGTCTATGCAAAGATAAAGTCACCTCTTTAGGTAGGCATTACTGCAAGTCATAGCCTAGCAGCCTGGACTCATGTAGCACCACAGGGCTGAAGCCCCTGGGAAGGGTATGATTCTTGGATGTGTTATTCTGGGAAGCAATAAGCTGAGTTCTGAACCACAGTCTTTCTCATAGATGCAGACAATGGTGAAACGCTGTCAAGACTCGAACAATGCGCTTGGGTAAAGAAGCTGAGCCCAGAGCACTGAGAGTTCCATTTTGTTTCCTAGGATTTTCCAGTGTCTGAGAATGAGGACTTTTCTTGCCTGTATCTCCTAACTGTCTGTGTGTGTCTCCTTCACTAGATAATTGAAAACCCAGAGGCACCGCAGGACTTTGGGAGTCAAGGTATTTGATTTGTTTTTCACTACTTCAGTTTTAAAAGAGTAAAAATGCCAGATATGTGCTTGGCATCAGGGGTGTAAAGATGCCTAGGAGCCCTTGGGTTGGTTTACTCTTCTCCTTGGAGGCTCTGCTCAGCTTTGCCATGTGTGGTATTATTTAATCAGCTGCTATCTTCCTTCTGTTCCTACACTCACTAATGCCAACTATGCCTATTCCTGTTCCAACTATGTGAGGGAAGTTAACTCTTAACATACTTCCCATGTGCAGGCTGGTAGCTTTTTTAAGTTACTCCCTTCTCTATGCAGTCAGGTTTAATTACTAAAAAGAGAACTGACTGGAGGATTATAGAAATCTGATGGACATATAGTGCTATTGCATCAGTTATGTTTGTCAAATGGCAATTCCTTGACATGAAAAAATGAGGCATCTTCGAGGGAGTCCTTCAGGTGGCCCACTTTAAGACACAGATCAAAACCAAATTAAGGAACTTTCATTCTGACCCACAGGAAAAGAAAAGAATAGAAGTGGACATATAATTAGTGAGTAATTTAAGTTTTAGAAACAGTTCTGATAGTATAATTTTCTTACAAAAGATATGAAAAATTCAAATCATCGAATTTAAAAATCAAAACATAGGTTTTATTTCGGGCTTTGTTCATGAATTTAAAAAATATTTGGAAAGCCTGTTTTTCTTTATGTCTTTGCCATTAATTACAAGGACGAGGGAGGGAGGAGTAAGGAAAAGATAAAACAAAGGGAATGAAAAGGAGAGGGACAGCTAAGTAGCCATAATTAGGAGAAAAGGAGTAAATGCAAGAAAGGAGAAGTAGAAATGCTTTCAATAAGTTACCGGGGAGCGTGCTGTGGCATCCTGTTCTGTCCCATCCTGCCACGTTTTGGGGGCGTGTGCCAGAGAAAGCTGGGCCAAGGCTTCTGCTCCTGCAGCTCTCAGAGCTGTGCTGGAAGATGCCTCCCGTCCTCTCTTCTCTTTGGCTACTGCAGTCTCATGAAAGGGAGTCAGCCTGCTCTTGGCCAAGGGTTCATCTGTAAAAATATACTAGGAAAAATCGATAGAGGGGCTCATTTGAAGTTGATCTAAAATTGAGCATAAGGGCTATTTATGGATCTGACTTTAAACTCTGCTTTATCGTTGTACCCTATCATTTCTCACTTTTGTTCCTGCATTTAAGATCTTAAATTCTGAGGATCAGAATTTATTTTTCTTCCTCTACCTCTTCCAAATCTATTTTTCTTTTCTCTCCTACGCTCTTGCCATGTTTCTTCCATCTTAGTTGACTTCATGGTCCTTCATCCATTTATACTTAGGCATATTTCTGTAGACTCTTATAGGTTTTCTATTTTAGAAACAAATACTCCAGCTTATTATTTCATTTGGCTCAACAATTCTGTGAAGTCTGGATTGTTTATCTTGTTCACTAAAAAGAAAACCGAAGTTTACCCAAGCTCACACAATCAGCAAGTTGTGGATCTGCATGGGAACACATCCCAAATTCCAGACTTTTTCCTACAGTGCTTCTGCGGGAGTTTTAATTCTAGTTTCTGGAAATTAGAATCCATTTGGAGGGAAAAATTATTTTTCTAACATTGGCTACTGCTCCATTATTGAGAAAGACCATGTGTCCCGCAGAGGCTAGACACAAAAGAAGATGAAGATGGTGCCTGAATTATTTCACCCTTTTCATCTGTTTTCTTAGTTCTGTCTTTTTTTCATGCTGCCATATTGTATTTCGCTCTGTGTTGTTTCTTAAATTCACCTACTCTCCTTTCATTAAGTACAAATGAATTTTGCCTGTAATTAGAAATGATCTATTATTTTCTTTTTTTGTGCTTTACTTTAGAAAGGAATGAGTATATTTAATTCTCACCTTTCCTCCAATTGTTTTGGTGGCCTAAGGGAGATGCTAATCTGAAAATCACCTCAGTCCTGAAAGGGGTCCAAAGCAGAGGACAGGAAGGACTGTTGAGGAAGCTCTTGGAGCCCCCACTAGGATCTAATGCCTGTCCCCTCCTCTGATTCAAAGGGTCATCGGTAGAGACCCTCTGTGATGACGTTGTCTCTGTCCTCTCTGTCCTGTGTGAGAAGCTTCAAGCCTCCATAAAGTAAGTGCCTTGCCATAGCGTAGCCATGGCAATCTGTTTCTGAAATAACTTCTGTCTGCAACATCACATAAAATTGCAGATTATAGGGACAGAGGTTCCCTCCCACTGGTATTCGCCTGAAATATATTCAGAGACCTTGGGGAATATCAAATTGCCAAATAATCATTGCTGAAGGATACAATTTTCTGAAGTGAAGATGGAAAAAAAAGTACCTTGTGAAGAAGAGCTAATCCTCTGAGCACTGGGGTGCATGAAAGAAATGTTGGGCTGAGAGCTGGGTTGTTGGGAGGGCTCCTGCTATGTTGGGCCTGGCCCCGCTGTGTGACTGTAAATGACTATTCTCATGGGACTGTGATACTCTGCCTTCCTCCGTTAAATGGCAGAGCTGAATTGTGTGCACTTCTTCTATTGCTTGTGACATTCCCCAAGGCTGTGAGCTCACATGCCTACCTTTAAAGAGAGCATATTACTCTGACTTCTGTATTCTTTCTTTCTTTTTTTTTGGCATGCATGTTTGATTAGTGACATTAATTCATTAGGTAATTCTTGTTCTAACCCTCCATGTGGTAGGGTGAGGCAACTTTTGCAACCAGAGTAAAGCCAAACCACAAAAGACCCAGACCTGCCAACATGAGATGAAAGGTCTCTACCAGCTGTAGATATCTATACGAATTTATCCATTAATCCTCTAAGTCACCTGCATGTTTGGACCAAATGAAACTCCCTTTATATCAGGCACTTCAAGGTCAAATACCTAGGTAGAAAGTAATATAGTGGTCACAAAGTTATAGGGGAATGGGGAAAGTAGTGAATATGCAGTATAAGTCAGAAGATCTAATTGCAACCTGAGGATTACAGTTAATAATAGCTTAATGTATTCAGGACTTCTGCTGAATGAGTTGGTTGTAGCTGATCTTGCCACAGGAAGGGGAAATGGGTAGCTGTGCGAGATGATGGATATGCTAATTTGTTTTACAGCAGAACCATTTTACTATATATATATGTGTGTGTGTGTGTGTGTATCTATATCTATATATATATGTATCTATATCTATATCTGTATATATGTATCATACAACATCATGTTTTCTACCTGAAATGTGTGCAAAAATGAGATCTAATAGGTTGTATAAGCCAAAAAAAAAAAAAATAGCAGATACCATTTAACTTCTTCCCCACTCACACTCAAATTTCTCCCATGTCTGGGCCCTAGACAGGTTTTTGACCAAAGCCAGTCTGGGCACCCCCTTCCTCAGCAGATGGGATGTAAGTGGCTCCTGCTGTGACCTGCTCAGGTCCCCATGTTTCCTGGCCAGCAAGAGTAGGAGCAGTGGAGATGACACTCGGGTTTCATCCTAACCGAGGGCTCCGGCACCTACCCCAGCGACCCCATCTGTAGGGTCACCATCCTGTAAGGCTTGCTGGAGACAGTCCCAGGTTATGCCTGTTGTGTACTCATGATGATCACCCTCCTTCATTCTCAGTGGTGCCCTGGTTTAGATGGGACCCATATTCACTCTGCTCCTCAGTGACCCAGAGTCTGAAGTGCTAACCTCTCCTGGGCCCCCCAGCTCCTCCCCATCACCACTGAGCTGGAAGTCACATCAGAGCTGGGATATGTTCCCACAGCACATTTTCTCCTAAGACTCAAGAGTGATTTTATTTTTATTCACTATTATCCCAACTATATTATCTTTGTTGGGTTGCTTAGTTTAAACTCCCAGCTCTGCTACTTACTAGCTTCTGGCTTTGGGCAAGGATCTCAACCACTGTAAGCTTATACATTCTATAAAATAATCAATGTAATTATTATTGCATTATAATATTTATAATATGAAACATTTGGGGGTCTTTGTAAGATCAACTGAAAAAATTCACTTGAAAGACAGTCAGTGGCCAACCGCCAAAGATCACAAGATCTGTGAGGTGTACACAATTAGGCTTCTTGGCCTGTGAGTGTGAGAGAGTCTGAACATTGTGGGAAACTAAGGCGCACCCGATGAAAGGGTGTTAGGAGGGATTGTTGCAGGATCTGAGTTTGAAGTAGATGATTTTGGAGTAGGTTAAAGGAATTGGGAGTTGCATTCGGGGTTAGGTGACATCCTAACCCCGAGAGCCAGGGGCAAGTCTAGCGTGGACCACTTTCATTTCTGTCCAGCACACAAGAGGAGCAGATAAGACAACCCCGCCTGTCACTGGAGAGGAGGTAGGAGTCACTCCCAGGGTGTGGCACATTTGGTCCTTTCTGTGGTTCTATAGAACCTGCTCCCCCTTCATTTACTCCAGTTCAGATGTGACTGTCCATGGCTTTTCCTCTTACTCCATCACAATCCTGCAAAGCCTCCTCCGTGCTAGCATTCTGTGGTCTATGTTCATCAGACCCTCATGCTGGCTGCTAGATCTTTCCTACCTACCACCCCAGATAGGTCAGCATTAGCACTGTCAGAAGGTAAAACCAAGACCACCAAAACTTTGAAAAACATAAAGCTTATATTCATTGCTTCATAGGCAAGGAAAAACAAATAACCTGAACTTTTTTTTCTAAGTAGTGTCCTAAGGGAAAAATCTAGAGTTATCTAAGTGCTAGAAAATTAGGCAGCAGGGTGGAGCACATGATAGTTATGCCTATTAATAATTAAAACTAGCTATCGGAATAAGTCAGGATGAGTGTGTGGGTCTGTAAATGATAGGTTTAAGATGTACCATGGTTCATTGATCAGAAAAGACTTCAAATAGGTCCTGTAAGTGCCTGACAGTCAGCCATGGTTAAACATAGATTCGAGGGCCGGGGATTTAGCTCAGTGGTGCCTCCGCCTGCCTCAGAAGCACAGGGTCCTGAGTTCGGTCCCCAGTACCAAAAAAAAAACCATAGATGGCTCTAACACCAGCTACAGGTGCCCTCATCTGGCCTGTGATCACATAACCTAGTTTGCCTGGGGCAGGCCAAGGTTATGTCTGTCACGTAAGTATAGGCAGTCAGATTTGGTATCTCCATGGAAGTACTAAAATACATGGAATCTTTTTTAACTGCAGAATGTCTGGCATGTAGTAAATATTTGATATATTTTGGTTCTAAATTGCTTTGTTTACTGTTGGTGCTAATTCTAGTTTATGATGCAGTAATATTGAGCTTCTTAGGACAAAAATTTGACAGTAGTTTGTCAGGCAAATGCATTGCATAAATATATACCGCCTATGTGCACACCATGTATTAGAAACCACAGGCATAGATTCCTGTCAGCCACTGAAACCATTTCTTCACCCCATGACTTGAAAACAGGCTTTAAATGGGGAAAGTGATTCATTGGACACAGATGTGTTTTTCTTGGGGTTCTCATTGAATACTGAATCAAAAATGACTCTAGGGAGGCCGGAGCCGCTGCTGTTGCCCTGACCCTGGGTAACCAGCGTGAGCTTGCCGCCAGAAGAATATGAAAAAGCAGAGCAACTCGGTTAAGGGGAAACACCGAGATGACGGGCTTTCTGCTGCCGCCCATAAGCAGAGGGACTGGGAGATCATCCAGCAGAAGCAGGAAAAAAGCAAATGAGAAGGAGACGGAACCCAAGTAGCTTTGTAGCTTCGTGTCCAACCCTCTTGCCCTTCGCCTGTGTGCCTGGAGCCAGTCCCACCATGCTCACGTCTCCTCCTGTAGCACTCACAGGTCCCAACACTGAGGCCACTCCCTTTGCCCTGAGTCTGCAGCGGGTCCCTTTTGTGCTTCCTTCCCCTCAGGTAGCCTCTCTCTCCCTGGGCCACCCACCCTGGGCCACTCCTGGGGGTGAAGAGGTTACCCCTTCCCAGTGTTTTTTATTCCTGTGGGGCAAATCCCAAAGTATTAAAAGTAGCTGTGTAATTTTTTAAAAATGGCTTTAGGTACATTGTTACATAGCTTAGTGGATTTAACAGAATTCTCATAGTCCTGCTTGGTTTTTCTTTTTCTTTTTTTTAAATTTTATTTTATTGGTACATTTTAGGTATACAATATAATGACATTCATCATTGGAAATTTGCACCTTTAATAATCTTTCTTGGTTCTTATTTTTCCCCCTTCCCCTGCCCTCCCTTCAACCCCTCCATCCCTCCCTATTTACAAAGACTTTGTTTCCATTTTTTCCTTTTCTCATATTAATTCCATTCCCTTCTTTCCTTTCCCCTACCCCTCCCACTTCCCCTTCCCCTTTGCCCCTTTTCTTCCTATTTCACATTATCTGTTACACCTTTTAGTCCTTATTTGCACTTTCAGTTTCTCACACTAGAGAAACTATCTGGTATTTACACATGTGTGTCCTATTTATTTCACTTAAGAGTATCGCCTCAATGTGCATCCATTCTTTTTCCTTTTTTATTTTTTTGGTACTGGGGATTGAACTTGGGACCTTGTGCTTTCGAGGGAGGCGGCAGCAGAACCCCAGCCCCTGCTTGGTTTTTCAATGCAGCTTCCCTAGTCATGATTCTGTCTCTAGAGATTGTTTGCGCTGTTTGGTTTTGGTCCTTCCTGTCATGATTCCATTACCCTAAGGGGATGGGGTGCTGCTAAAGAAGCCAGGGTGCAGAGCAATCAGGGCAGCGGGGGTGAGAATCCTTCACGTCTACCGGGTCAGGCTATGCCGTGCACTCCGCTACTCGGTTCCTGCTTATCAGGTGTCCACATCTGTATGGTCTCTTCTCAATTTACTACCTTCATTCTTTTATTGCTATCAGCTGAACTCGATGCCATCCCTCCCTGCTAAGTAGGTTCCTCCTTTGAAGTCCCACGATGGTTGGTACTTCTCAATAACCATTTCCACAGTCTGTGCTCGGATCAGGCCCTGGGCTGGGTAGGGAGTATATCCGAGGTCCATTCAGTCTCTCCGGAGGGTTCAGAAAATGCACTCAGGTATAGTCCAGGTCCCCGACTTGTCTCAGAGATGCACATCCACAGAGTTTTGTATCAGGAGCATTGCCATACATGATGCTGCTTAAATGCAAGAGTTTTTGGAAGGATAATTGGGCTTAAGGTGATATTTATTCGTTCTCTGTCTGTCACCTGCCACTGGCTCCCTCTTCCTGTCGTCCTCATCCCAAATGTCAGACAGGAGTCTACACTAGCAGCTGGGGATCAGTGGACCTGGCCAAAGTAGTTGTATCATTTGTTCCATTTTACTCCTTCCTTATTTCCTTTTTCCAACCAAATTCAAATGTTATTTTTAAGAGAGGTAAAGTAAAAAGTGGTTTTAAACAAAACCTCTAAGAACTCCAGAGATCCTAAGCATGCTGCCAGTTGCCCTCCCGGTCACCTGGCCACAGAGAGTGGCGTCTCAGCCTTCATGGCCACCAGTCGGCTCCTGGGAATTATTCTCCACAGATCTTGTGCCTAGAAGAAACTCAGTGATGAGCAGATGTGGGACTGGCAGACCCCCAGCCTGCCAGCTATGAAATGTTCAGACAGAAGACCAGGAAGAGTGACTTCCAGCCCTGCTGAGGAGGCACATTTCCCCTCATGGGTTTTGAACGAGTTGGCTGGGTTCTAAGCTCTTTCCTCTCTGTGCGTCCCCACGGTGGTCTGTCCACAGCCGTGCAAATCTGAAAGGCACCACACACACTGCACGTGTGGATATGCATTTAGTGAGGGACACGGATGCAAAATGCTTGCATTTTTAACAGCTCCCTGAATGGCATGGCTCACGCAAGGCCATGAACACTCGTTTCCCAGCCTGCTGCAGCCCATAGGAAAGCTGCCCTGTTCGGTCTCCAAGGAGACCCCCAGGCAGTTACCTTGGAGATGAGTTCCCTGTCAGGGCTGCTTTGCCGATGCTCATGGGAGACTTGATTGCTTGAAGCTTTTCTCAAAGCCTTATTTCTGATGAATTCAGAAATTGATAATCTTTATTTTCTATACTTAGTTTAGTATTGTGATGCTAACCTGACAGTTTGAGGCAGAAAGAGAATTTTTTGCATTGGGGCATTTAATAACTAAGCTTCTTAGTAGGTCCAGTGCTTGGCCAGAAAGATTAATTGAGACTGCAACAAAAATGATTCTTCCAGAACTGATTTTTAAATGCATCATATAACTGATATTGTGGCCCTCTTGATTTGCCCTCTCCTGTCTGTTCATGCTAAAGCATCCAGAATGAATGGTCTAAAACACAAATGTAGTCATGTCAGTCTTCTGCAGAATGAAGTCCAGACTTCTTAGTACCATCTACGGCACCTGTCCCCCCTTTCACATGCACCACCTCCCCAGCTCCTCCCCGACCCACACTCCTCCTTGAACGCTAGGGCTCTACTGGGATACCATTTCCTGTGGAAATTTTTCCAAAGCCAGTGCCCCTCATCTATGGGTTCATAGAAACTTATTTTAAATTATTCATTTACAGTACTTCTTTCCAGTGCATGGTCTACTTGCTTACTTGTCTGCCTTGTCCCATGAGAATGAAGAATGTAATGTTTTAGGACAGGAGTTAGGTCTTGTAAACAATGTAAAGTCCTTACCTGGCCCACAAAGGACTAATTCCTCCATACTTCTCACTCTTCATCCGGTCATCACCTTCCTCTTGACAAACAGTGGTGATTTCTGTGGGAGGTTGCCCTTGGCCCTGTTTCCCCCACCCTAAGAAGCTGTGCTACAAAATGCCCAAATGTAAGTGCCACTCTCTTTCCGAGATGAAGACATTATTTTAATCATTACAGTTTTTTGGACAAAGGAGATCTTTTTAGAATATGGCTCAGCAAACTTCTGCAAAGAGCCACATACTGTCTCTGTTTCTCATTGCTTTTGTTTGGCCTTACAGCCCTTTTAAAACTCGAAATCTTTTTTTTTTTAGTGGATGTTTGCAGTTCATAATGTTTACATTCCTTGTGGAGAGTTGGTACATGCATAGAACATCTTAATTCCTTTTTCATCCCTTTCCCCTTCCCTTCTCTCTCTCTCCATCTCTGGATCCCTTCCCATTTAAAAAAGATCTATCTTTTATTTTGCTCTTTATTCGTCATTTGGGTTTCTCATGGATATGGGCAGGATTTTGTCCCTGGGCAGTATCTTACCGACTAGTTCTAGAGCATAATGTCTCAATTGACTGCATCCAACACTGAATGTAGAATTTAGTGGAGCATTTAAATGAAGAAGCCATAACCACCCCCTCCAGCCTCCATCTCTCCTTGTCTTACAACTGCATGGTCTTTCTGAATTGGGCAGGTACAGGGAGGAGGCCTTCTGGCCTTTGAGATGGTGGGCTTTTCTTTTCTCTCTTCCTATCTCTAAGTTTCTAGCTTATGTGCTGAGAGCCTTGCTTTTCCCTTCCACTCCCTTCCACTTCCCAGGAGGTGAGCTGCTAAGAACACTAACTTTCCTTTTGGTATTTGTTTCTTTAAAATTAGGAGAAAAAGATACAACCAAAGTTATTTTTATCTGATTTCCTTTTTTTCCTCAGTATTTCACCCCATAAGAGACTCCTTTCTGAATTTTCTTAAAAGATTATATATTTGTATCTTTGAAAATTAAATTTTTTGAGCATGCCTGTAATCGTAGCTACTCAGAAAGCTGAGGCAGGAAGATCACAAATACAAGCCCAGCTTGGGCAACTTAGCAATAATTGGTCTTGAAATAAAATTTAATTAAATTTTTTAAAATGGGCTGGAGATGTAGCACAATGTTAAGGCCCTGTGTTCAATGCCCAGTACCATAAAAGAAAGAGAGGCAGAAAGAAAAGACAGAGAAATTTTTCTCACCCCTGCCTGTCTCTCTTATCAGCTAGAGGAATTTTAATACTTTTCGGTGGGCTGGAGAGAAAATCTAACCTGGGCGTATAAGACTGTGCTTCCTATAAAGCTATATGTTTTCTTTTCTGGCTTTATTGAGAAACTCAAGAATAATTGTTATAAAGAATTCACTTGTCAAACATAGGCTTTTGAAAGAAAAGTTTATTCCAGTGGACCGGGACTAAAATCAGGAGATCCTAGCTGCTAGCTGGGAAAAGCTGAGTTATCACATTTGTGTGTAGACAGGCTAACATTGGGAGAGAGAAATAGTGGCAGCTAGCTGGGAGAGATTTCACCTGTGAGTGGATGGGGTAACACCAGGAGAGAGATGTTAGCAACTAACTGGGAAAGGAATTAGGCTGATATAGGTATTGAAGGGGCTAAGGAATCTGGGGTGAAATATTTATGACTTGGATGCCCAAGGATGGTCAGCTGAGGTGTGTACACAATTACTGGACTTCTCAGCACTGCGGGGGAGGGGTTTGTATACTACATTTTGAGTCCATTTGCCCTATTTACTGAGAAGCTGCTGCTGTTTGCTAAAAGCAGCCTGTTTGCTTTGTCCTGTTTATTTGTGAAGGACTTACTTAAGTCAGGCCTGACAATAATTTTGGGGAAAATAATATTTCAGTTGATAAACCAAGTCTCCTCAATAAAAAAATAAATCAAATGTAAATTAATAAAATATGGGTGGACTAAAAGATAATGTGGTAAATGGTTTCTTGAAAGGTTTGGTCATTTAAACATATTACTAATTCTGTCATGAACTCTAGATTTTAGTTAATATAGCAATATCTGTTCATTAATTATCACAAATATACTAATAGGTAAAAGATGGTAATTCAGTTTCATGTTCAGTTTTCTATAAATATACAGAAAACCTTTCTACAATGTAAAATTTATTAATTAAAAAAAAGAACCTATTTTCTAGGGCTACCATAAGAAAGTACCTGTCGTAGTCACTTTCCTTGTTGCTGGGACAAAATACCTGACCCTGGTGACTTAAAGGACAGGTTTATTTTGGCTCCTGTCTTAGAGGTTTCAGTCTTTGCACGGTCAGCTGGCTCCAGGCAGAGGTGGCCTGACGGGAGGGGACAGCAGAAGGAAGCTGCTCACCTATGACAGCCAGGAAGCAGGAAGAGATCCAGGAGGAAATGGGGAGGGAGATATAGTACATCCTTCCTAGTCATGCCCCCAGCCGCTGCTTCCTCCATCCATACCCCATCTCCCAACAGCAAGCCAGATACAGGTTCAGTGACCTTCCAAACATGTGAGGCTTTGGGGGCCACCTTAGATCTAAACCATAACATACCTAAAACTGGGTGTCTAGAGAGAAATTCACTTTCTCATAGTTCCGGAAGCTGGAAGTCTAAGATCAAAATGGTGGTGGGGTGGCTTCTTCTCAGGGCTCTGAGGGGGTCTGTGCCAGGCCTGCCTCCTTGGCTTGAGGGTGGGGGTCCTCTCCCATGTCTCTGTGTTCTCTTCCCTCTGTGACAGTGTCTGCATGCAAATTTTCATTCATTGAAGGACGCCAGCCATATTGGATTAGAGCCCACGCTAACAAACTCACTTTACTGGCTCACTTCAGTGGAGGCCTCTCTCAGAATCAGGTCACATTCTGAGATGCTGGGGATTAGGACTTTAATCTGTGGATTTGGGGGTTGGGGACAATCTGGCTCCTAACACTAGCCATGCTCGCACCTTGGTATTGCCTAACACTTCGGCAAGTGTCTCCCCACGCCTCCTCTTTAATTTTGTCTGTGTTTTGTCTATGTCTCTATGTTGGTTCTGCTCCTCTGCAGTGACAGCCAGCAGCTGCAGCTTCTGTACCTGGAGTGCATTCTGTCCGTGCTCAGCAGCTCCTCCTCCTCCATGCACCTGCACAGGGGTTTCACCGACCTCATCTGGTGAGCACACCAGCCCCACAGGCTCCATGTAGCTGCGTCTCCAGCCCCCTCCACTGTACCCGTGACCTACTGGTGGTTTCATCTGACCATAAGTGCCTTCAAAGGAAAGTGGGGGCATTGCTTTGCTTACACTGATCAGCCCAAAATCCAGGAGAAACTGGTGATTATTATAACAAATGTGCTTCCAAAACCCTCTTAAACTCACAAGAGACAAGAACTGCTAAATGTTCCTAGCTCCCGATTTGTTCTAAAAGCATAAAAATGCACTGCAGGGATGGAGAGCATGAACTACACTCTTGCCCCTACCCGGTACGTTCTCCTTGTCACAGGTCAGTGTCCCATAGTCAGATTCCAGGAAGTGACAGCACCACAGGCAGCCGACAAAGTGGCTCTGGGTTGCCGGGCCTATTGACAGGGTGGAAGCCAAGTGACAGGCATCAGTATGGGATTGGAAATCAGCTTCTCCAGTGAGAAGCCATTTTGTTATTTGTATAAGGTGAAACTTTATAACCAGGTCTTTCAGCGTTTTGAGCCTATTTCTTCATGTGAGAATGCTTCTCAGTGCTTCTCCTGATGTTTTATTTAATCGTAGCTTGAGAAATGTTGATGGCTGAAGGGATAGGGGCACTTGGAAAACTGGGACAGAGCATAGCAGAAGGAGGGCGCAGTGAGGTCCCAGCCCTCCCTGGGCACGGCTGTGACATCTGACCTTGGCCCTCAGGGTGGTACTCACATTTTGTCACTTGAGTTCTGGTAAAATTCTTTTTCTGCTGTTTCTTCCCAGGAAAAACCTGTGCCCGGCTCTCATCGTAATCCTGGGGAACCCCGTTCATGACAAAACCATCACCTCTGCTCACAGCAGCAGCGCCAGCGCTAGCGTGGAGTCTGACTCAGCCTCCCCAGGTGTCTCTGACCACGGCCGGGGCTCGGGCTGCTCCTGCACCGCGCCAGCCCTCAGTGGCCCTGTGGCTCGCACCATCTACTACCTTGCAGCTGAGCTGGTCCGCCTGGTGGGGTCGGTGGACTCCATGAAGCCCGTGCTGCAGTCCCTCTACCACCGCGTGCTGCTGTACCCCCCACCCCAGCACCGCGTGGAAGCCATCAAGATCATGAAGGAGGTAGGGAAGCACAGTGTGGGGTCCCAGCAGTGTCCTGGCCTCGGAAGGGCACAAATATTTGTTCGTCACTTGCTGGAACGTCACTGCCACTATGTGGAATCCAGGAATAATCGGTGGCTCTAGAGTCAGTGTGTGCACGTGTTTCGGGAGCCCGGGGAGAGAAAGCCATTAGATAATTAGCCCCGAGTTTGTTAAAACTCCATCAGTTGTGCACCAGACTGGGCCCTGGCTGAGACCCATCCTGCTAGTTTAGGAGCTGTGAGTACAGATACGTAATTTAGTCACCGTTGCCAAAATCAGACTTCAAAATTGTTTTATACTCACGCTGTTAAACTATCCACAAACAGCTTTATTAATCTCTTTTTGCTCAAAGGAATCCCTTTGTCCCAAATGTCATGGCCCCAGTGAGGATATTAAGGTTGTCCAGTTGGCCATAGGCATCACAGGGTGCTACTTTTTTGGTTTTGAGCAAGAGCTAGGGTTACTTTGCAGATTCTTCAAAAAAGGGTTCTCTGCTTTTTTCCAAAGAGCTCAAAAGAAAAAGTCCTCAGTGTTTTTGTTTCTGTGAACTTGTTCATAAAGATCAAACTGCTTTTCCTTAGGGTACTTACCCGCTCCCCCACCCCAAAAATATGAGAGTAACAAAATTCCCTTAATGATCCTTTTATTTTAAGCAATATTTGCCCCCCAAAAGTTTCTAAGTTGTTAAATTTTAAAATGTATATATACAGCATAGCTAATCATTGGAATTCTTAAGATAAACTGGACACTATAACAGCTGCCCTCTTGGGCTTGAATCCACGAGGAATCTGCGGAAATGGTTCAGCCAGGCCAGTGGTGGCTCACTCTCCAGCCTTGGCACTGCAGTCATGCCTTCCCTGGCACCTGGCAGGGTGCCCACGTTTGCCACAGGTTGACTGGTGAGGGTGGCAGCCACAGTAGTGGCACATGTGTGCATCTCACTGTGCTGCTTTCAAAATGACCATGGTCCCTTTGTCCCCTTGCTTCTTGCTCTTGCTTCTGCAGCCATGACCAAGGAGCAAAAATTAAATTGGAATCATTTCGTGGTGGTGTTTTCAAGGGATTTGACTATAATGAATGATAAAAAAAAAATCTGACCCAGCATTTTTAGAAATGAAGGAGTAACCCAGATTCAGTTGCTGGTTAAGGAAATCTATGGGTACATAATATAATTGCCATTTTTTCTTTAAGAACCAACCACCTCTAGGTTGTTAAAGTTGGCATTGCTTTGGAGACAAGTGAGACCAGGACCTGATGACCACTCAGGCAGCAGGGACCTCCAGGAGGGAGCTTCCCTGCCCTGTTAAACCTGTAGCTTGGAGGAGCTGGTGCAGACTTCCTTGAGGAGCAGATCCCCAGGAAGGGAGGGAGAAAGGGAGGGGCAGGCCACACATGCCCAGCTCCTCCTAAATTCACCTGGCAGGTCGGGGCTTCCCCCTCCACCTGGACAAAGCCAGAGAAGGGAGAAGAAAGGCTCAGAATTTTACTCTACTCAGTATTCTGAACAGAAATGTGACACCAGAGAAAAGGAATTTTCTATCCCACAAAGAAACTGAGGCTTTATGAGGCCACATGATTTACCCAAGGTCCCAAAGAAAGAAAAAGTACAAACCCTAATCTCTCTGACCCTGAACCCACAGTCTTCTCCTGTCCCTCATTTATTTCTGATCTTGATCTCTATGTGAGAATGTGAACGATTCTAGCAGAGACTTTTCTACACTGGTCCAGCCACCCACTTCTTGAGCCTGAATGTAAGAGGAGTCAAGGTTCCAGTCCTGTCTCTGTCCCTCACGAGCTAGGTGGGTAAGGGAAATCACTTAACTCTGAATTTATAGTTTTCTCATGTGTACTTCATTGAAACAGCCCAAATTTTACAAGTTCAAAATGCAACAAAGTCTGCCTCAGTGCTTTGTAAGTATGAGATGCCCCTCAAATATATGGTGCACTTCTTGCTAAAGAAGAGGAAAACAGAGCATAGTCCAGTTCCGGCTGGCCGCCCTCTCTCCTGCCTGTCTCGTTTCTGTCTGTCTCACCCGAGGTAGGTTCATGAATTAACACTGTTAACAACTTCCACCCAGCCCAGGGCTCTCTGATGACTCGTTGCCTCTCCCCTCAAGGGCGAACTTCTGTGCTGTTTCTGCAGCCTTTGCCTCACTCTCATTTCCCATTATTCCCCAGCAAGCACCTTTATTCTGTCTGACCGACCCCACTTTGTCCTGTTCCCACCTTGCAGCCTCTGTTCAGTCTCACACCTCTGGTCCCCATGAGTCACTTCCACATCGTAGAGCTGACTGCTTGATTACAACGGGCTACACTGCCAACATTTTGATTCCTTAAGATGGTCATATTTTCCCCTCTTTCCAGAAGCTTAAACTTTCTGAGGCAGTGTCGCTTGCCCAAAGTCCTGTATCTTGAAGGCAGTAAAGCTTAGCTGTGAACCCAAATGATCCAACTACAGCTGTCTCTTTGCTCTCAAAATCCTTCTCTGTTCCCCAGACCACTGGTCTTGCTCTTCTTTAAACCTCATCCTACCCTTTAGCCACTGACCAGTTTAGCCACTTGCTATCTGAAGGCCAAGTAAATAGGGCCAGGTTTCCAGTTCCATGGGTTCCATATCTGAAGATTCAAACAACTATGGCTTAATAATTGAGGAAAACATATTGTGTCTGTACTGAAAACTGCACCTTGTTGTTTGAATACAGAATGTCAACTATGTATGGAGCATTTACATTGTGTTAAGTATTATAAACAAGGTAGAGATGATTTAAAATATACTGAAAGCGTGGTGTAGGTTATGTGCAAACACCACACCATTTTCTAGAAGGGACATGAGGAACACATTTGGAAGATGTTGGTGCTAAATGTATTTTCAATAATTTCTTCACTGCCAAGGAAATCAGTTATGCTTTCCCCCTTCTCACAGATGTTCTAATTTTCCAAGGTTGCATTGCAGATGTAAGGTCAGAAACAGACACTTGACCTGAGCAGTATGTCCAGCCAGTCCCGCAGCAGACAGATCTGGGCTGGGTTGTTCTGAGAAGCACCACCTCCGCTGTCTGTGGCAAAACCCATAATTTGGGGAAGTTGGTAACCTAGATACCAAAATGTGCAGGGTTTATGCACACAAAGAAAACCACTCTGTTTCCAGGATGTTTGTTTAGCCTTTTGAAGTTTGAACGCTTGGTTTATTATTTCCCTGTTCTCACTCTGCCATATGTACACGTGCCTGTTAAGGACACAAGGACATTCTGTTTTCCAAAGTACATTCTCTTTTCTAAATCCACTCCCCCCGCCCAAAGAAACAAAATCATTATGAAAAAGCTCACCTTGGTTCTTTTGTCCCTGTCACAGTTGGGCTTTAGAAGGGGTCCCTCGACTTCTTGAGACCAGGGCACCCACCCTCTGTCTCCACTGCCCCCTGCCCACCTGAAGAAGCCAGGATTCAAAAGCTCTGACTCCTTTTTGTATTTGTTGAGGGTTCTTCAGAAGCCTGCTCACTCTGTCCCCTGTCTAGCATCTGAGGCCACTGATAGGTCAGCACAAGATTAATGTAGGGATTAAAATTAATATCGAATTTATTACTAGTAAAGTCAGATTAGAGAACGTGGTGGGGGTCCCAAGAGAAACCGAGGTCTACACTCTTGTCCCGGGCTGGGGTGCCACTCCGCAGCACAGTCATGAGTGACACCTTGGTCTTATCCCCAGCACCAAACCAAACAAAGCTCCTGTCCCCCAAAAAGTCACTCGCCCTTTCAGCAAGAGACGAGCACCTAGAGGCCCACACATCTAGAGACTTGGATGCAGCTCTGCAGAGAGAAAGAGCAAGAAAGAGAGTGAGCAGAGGAGGAAAAGAGGGATGGAGACAGGAAGGGGAAAGGGAGACAGGCAGGGCTGACTGACATTGGCCCGGCGTAATCATCATTCTCTGATGTCAAAGAAGTAAATGCAAAGAAAAATGCAGACGCTTCATTTCTGTGCCTCCTAGAGAGCAAGTGTTTCTGATTCCTGAGGTAAGAAAGGAATAGGAAAAGAAAGAAGCGATCCCCTTCAAACATAGTTATTTCTACTTGACATATTTAATTTACACTTCCCGACTTTGCTTGGAATATACATCACATTGAAAATGGGCATAGAAATGGGATATTTATTCCATAAACACTTCAATAACTGTTCTTTCCTTCAATTAGCCTCAAAATGACATTTTCTGTAATGATTTACATCATATGAAATAAAACATACATGGGACTAAACAATTAGGAAAATTCTATTCGTGAGAAATTGTGGGAAAGTAGCAAATGCAGTGCATAGATGGATACTTATAGCTGTAAACCTAAACTGAAATCCTAATGCTGCAACTTAGATTAGTGGATAAAAGATCAGGATAAATTTGAAGGCAAACCAGAGAAACAAAATACAGGTAAAAGCAGAACGGAATGTGACAAGAAGCGGACTCGATCCTGGGCAGTCACAGTGATGGTGCATTGTGGTTGCGTTGTGCAGAGTGAAGGTCCAAAAAAGAAGACATTACATTAATTGACAGATTCAGTAGAGTAGCTGGATATAAGGTCAACACTCAAAAAACAATAGCCTTCTTATACACAAATAACAGACTCACTGAGAGAGAAATTAGGGAAACAATTCCTTTTACAATAGCATCTCAAAAAATGAATTATCTAGGAATCAATCTAACAAAGGAAGCAAAAGACCTCTACACTGAAAACTATAGCACTCTAAAAAAGGAGATCGAGGAGGATATAAGAAAATGGAAAGACATCCCTTGTTCCTAGGTAGAAAGAACCAATATAGTGAAAATGGTCATACTGTTCCGGAATCGCAGAAAGAAACCCACAGAAACACAAGTTGGGTAAAAATACAAAGCTTTACTCGCAAGCAGGCAGGACTGCCAGAAACTGGTCTGGTCAGACCATTTTCCATGCCCTGTGATCTTTGTCCATCACCTTTTATACTTTTGTCGGTCATTATCTCATCCCCAGTGGTCTTTGTTAAGTAAATAAAGTTCCAATTCCTCTTTAATGGTTAGACACAGGTGGTTTCTGTCACTGATTACAGCCCTAAACACATGACATTTAAGGCACATATATTACAAGTTTGTTCAAGGATTCCCACTTTATTCTTCAGAGCTAGGATGTTATCTATAGTGGAGCTACAGATCAAAGGAGCTATATAAACTTTACTTTAAACAACAAAAGCAGTGGGCTTTCAAAGGGATACACTACCTATTTTGCTTTCACAACTACTTTAATAGCTAATCTGCTAACCTTTAATACTTTTCCCTATCAATACTTCCAAAACTACTATATAGTTTCAATGCAATGCCGATTGAAATTCCAACAATATACTTCACAGAACTAGAGAAAACAATCCAGAAATTCATTTGGAACAAGAAGAGACCTAGAATAGCAAAAGCAAGTCTAGGCAACAGAGACATG